CCGGGTCTCGAACCCATGGGCTCAGGCAATCCACTCACCTCAGCCTCCCAAAGCGCTGGGATTACAGGCTGAGCCACCGAGCTCGGCACAATATAGAAACATGTTAATCTAGCTTTTGTGGATAGGAAAGGATTCCTGTTGATGTATGTCTTATAAGGAAGTATGTGTTCAGAAGTTCACTAATCTGTACAACTTGGCTCTTTACAGATCCTGTCTTCCTTTCATGACCAACTACAGTTTTCATTGCAATGTATGCCATCATAGCGGGAACACCTATTTCCTCCGGAAGCAAGCAAGTAAGAACAAACTGGATTATTTCAGGATGCTTGTCCCACTGGAGAAAAAAAGGGACTTGGTCTTAGCAGCATCAGGAAATTTTTGCCCAGTAGCTGGTAGAAGCTAAATTGGGGTTTAGTTTGAGTAATTGTCATTGCCCATATCAGATCAAATGATGACCAATTTTGCTACTGTAATTGTTATTTTGTTGACTACTTATAGAATATTCCCTTGGTAATAGGGATATAGTATAATAGGTAATTTTTTCTTCTTATTGTTTTTGATAGATTTGAAAGAAATGTGCCTTAGTGCTTTGGCTAACTTAACATGGCAGTCCAGAACACAGGATGAACATCCGAAAACCATGTTCTCCAAAGATAAGGTAGAGGTGAAACTAATGTAATTGCAATTATGCCAAAGATTCAGGTGGAACTTGTAAATACATTCTTTAACAAGTACTTTCTCCTCAATTTTTTGAATATATAATTGTATTCAATGGTTACCTTGTTTTTATTTCATGGGACTTACTGATTTCCTAGTCATGTGTCACTTGGGTTAGCATGTATGAATCCGTAAATAGTTTTGGTTGGTCTTGTAGAAGCAAGCAGCTGCCTGTCCCACAATAATCATGTTTAAGGGAAACTTCTCAGCCTAGTTTAGTCTTTTTGTAGATATTTATCATAGACAGGACAGGAAGTTAGTTTCCTTTGTTATGAAAAAAGATTATTCTCTACTATTAAACTAAAAAACTGACTAAGTTAGGTTTGAAAACTAGGTGATTAGCCCATCCTTGAGTCTTTCCTATTGTGATTCATGGTAAGAAATATGGAAAAGCCAGGCTTGGTGTCTCAGCCTGTAATCCCAGCACTTTGGGAGGCTGAGGCGAGTGGATTGCCTGAGCCTGTGGGTTCGAAACCTGCCTGGGCAGCGAGACCTCATCTCTACAATAAATAATAGTTTCTATGCTTCTGTACCAACTTGCTGTCATTTAAAACTGAAACAAGCCGGGCTCGGTGGCTCATCCTGTAATCCTGTGCCTTTGGGAGGCTGAGGTGAGTGGATTGCCTGAGCCTGCGGGTTTGAGACCTGCCTGGGAAACTTGGCGAGACCTCATCTCTACAATAAATCAAAAATTAACCGGACATGGTAGCGTGCACCTGTAGTTCCAGCTACTTGGAAGGCTGAGGCAGAAGGATCGCCAGAGTCCAGCAGGTCGAGGCTGCGGTGGCTGGGAGTGGCCACTGCACTCCAGTCTGGGTGACAGAGTGCGACTCCC